GAAGCACAAAAAAAGGAAGTTAAAATATAGAAGTGCTTACATCGTGTTACTAGCGCCTTAGAGTAATTTGCTCCCCGGGTGAATGTGCTTTTAGCCTTCGTTATGTGGTATACTACAGTAGTGGTACATGTCTCAGCTGCTGTTTTCGTAACAGTTTCATACAGCTGTACTAATGAATTACTATTTTGTTTACAAATATTTGCTGCTGTGACAGATACTTCTAGAACCCTTGAGAGGAAAAAGACACTCGCCACCTATTCTTGGCTAAATCCCATAAGGAAACAAAGAACAAATTGTCAAGAAAACATAATGGATTTAATAGGAAATACATACTGTAACATGAGTAAAAGAGAGGCAAGATAGTAGCAGTGAATCTATCGAGGTGTCAGAGTTACAGCATATCCAAGTGCAACAACCGGATGGAGTATCACACTCACAGAGATGAAGAGCATGACAGAAAGGGTGGTCTGTGTCCTTCAACAGTTGAAGAAGTAGCCATTGGTTTGTTCAATAACACATACATGAAAACATTAACAGAAATGAAGCAAAGAAAACCCCAACCTTCTTAAAAGAAGAGTACCTTTACAAAGGTAATTAGCTCCTTGAATAAAATTCGTTCTTAGTGTTTAAGTAAAAAATTAAGAACCCCAACTTGCAGGATGATGAAACGGGAAAAGCAAAATTGTTTCTTCTAAGTGGTCTTTAATCTAGAATGAGAGCAGTTTCAGCAAATGCTGTCCCCATTTTCAGGGGGATAAATCATCCTACTGCCTTGGTTTTCCATGTAAAATAGGAAGCACCAAATGACTCTAAGCCACTAGAACTTTTCTAAGTATTTCTAAATATCTGTTTATAGCATGTACGCTCTGACAACACTATGTTAAAAATTCAGGGTTGGGTGGGGTGGGGGGAAATGGGAGGGGGAAGGAGGAAAAAGCTGACCCTAGGACCATTTCGGCATGTCAGAGACTGAGCCCATCAGTACTCTTGGGTTTCAGGATCGTCATATATCCCTTGAAAGATTTGTTATCTGTGATACTTTATAGATGAAGTTTGGTAATGCTTGTTAGATTTTTCCAAGTCATGCACTTTTGACTCTAGCTGACCAAAAAAGGGTTCGCATTCAAACTTTTGAGACCTCCAAAATATCAGAAGGGATTTTTCAGAAACAAACGTTGGTCACAGAAGGCCTAATAATTTTAGGGAAATATATTTTGGCATCTGAATTCTTGTATGAGAAACAAAGATGTGGTTTCAAGCCCATTTCTTTTGACAAGCTGGAGCCATATGACTGTAAAATGGACAGCTGACATGACTTTTTTTTATACTAGAACATGCATTTCTATCTTAGATTGTCAATTCACACCAACCTCTTATTTCTATAAATCCTCTCTCACCTACTAGTACTAGGGCTGTGGTCTATTACTAGGAATGGGATCTGAACATAAAATTCTAACAGTTTTATTCAGAGAATTTTGTGCAGATTTTTAGAAGCTTAATTCCAATCACACAATTCTCTGGCTTGAAGTTAACTGATCTGTGGCATACCAAGTCTGAGGTCTCTGTAAAATGACTTCCCATTAAAAAAAAAAGTTAAGAAAGTTTGTCCCTCTCTCTTGTCCATGAACAGAAAAGCCTCCTTTTTTAGAAGTTTAAAGTGTTTAAGAAAGATACATGAAGCTTTTCAGAAAATGAGTAGGCAGCGTAGAAGTTTAAGTCAGTCAGTTATTCAGGTTCTCCTCATGCTTGAGATCTTTTTTTTTCTTCTATGTAACTATTGCTGCTTATAAGTGAGGTTCACTACAGAATCACTAGCTACATAGTTCAGACAGCTTCTGTCCTGTAAATCATCAATTCCCAAGATACTCTTTGCAGATTGCTGACATAGCACACCACAAATAGACTACACCATCCTTAATAAACACTAAAGACTGTTTCACAAGAAAGTAATTCAAACATCACTGCTAAAGCTTCATTTTCCAACTAATACTCAATAGGTTACACTGGAAATTAACACTAACATTACAGAATAATTTAGGATTAACATTGTAACAAAAATCTTGTTGAGGCAAACCTTTAAATCACTCAGGGTATTCAGCCTGAATTAGTTTTTGCTAATTAAAATGAAGCTTTAACCATGAATGTAGGCAACTCCCAATGAATCCCACACCTCTCAACCAGGTTAACGGATTAGACTTCCAAATCAGAGAGTAGGCATCGTCTCCTCTCCTCTTACTCTCTTCCCAAGCATGTCTTGAGCAGGCTGGTAGTGTTACACTGGTATTAGGTACACCAACTCAAGTCTGCATAAAATGCCCCTCTAAACTATTAACGTGTCTGATCCTCCAGCACTTAAAGGAAGGGTCTCACTGATGTCAGTAGGGATTTGAAGGGCAATGAATTGTTTTGTTTCAACATGGATCTAATAACTTGAAGTCTTTACCTTCTTGGCAACCGCAAAAATTGTTAGAATTGCCTTAGAACTTTTCAAAGCACCTATAACAATTTTCAGTAGTTTGACCACTAGATGCTTCTGTTATTAAACATAAGCTTCCAGATTTCAACTACGTCGGCATTTAGTATGCCAGTGTTCAGCACGTATGTAAAATATACTACAAAACTACCTACAGCACAGATGAAGAGCCTGGCAAGTCAGTTAGAGATTTGTAATTTAGAGGCTCAGATGAAGAGACCCTCCAAAACTTAGGGAGCACATTTAAGTTGCTCCAAAGCTTAAACACTAAACATTTATCAAATTATATTTTTGTATAAATCTGTAACTTCCATGGGAAAGAACTGGTGGTGTTTAGAAGCTGAAATAGTTGTATTTTTTCAGTTAAGAAATGCTCTGGATCAATGATATGACATGCACCTCGTTACATTTTTACATACATGATAATTTACCCTTCCAAACTTATTTTGCAGCGATTAATTCCCTTTGAGAGTATCTGAAAGCCTAGCCTCTATGACGAGCTCCATTCACTAAACACAAAGGCACAGTGGAATGAAACTTCAGTCCTGAGGTTTTTCAACAACTTCTTAACAGAAAAGAAGTTATTAAAAATTTAGCTGGAATGGTTGATAATCAGCACTCCAAACACTCAAAGGCTAATGTATCTCCAAAGAGAGAAGCTGTGTTAGGACAAAATATAATCAATTTCAGCAAGCCTAGTGCAAGATGAAAGCAGACGGCCTCACAAATTATTAATACAGAAGAAACCATTTTTCTCCAACAAAAATGAAACAATGAACATGTGCCTCATCTAGGGAAGACTGCATTCCAGCTTTCAGCTAGGGCCAACTGATCAATAAACAGTTATCTTGGCTCAAAAGATCTTACATCAACAGTCTGTCATTTTAAATAGGCATGTGTTAAAAAGCAGCCTCACTTCAGTGTTTGTAGTTGGGACAATCTGAAACACTGGCAATTTCCATGTTTGCATTAGCTGCAGTAACTCATGATCAGACCTGCAAAAAGGATATGAAGTATGCTGGCATTCCACTCAGATTTGTAACAAAACAAAAGGAGTCTGAGGCATTAAGACTTGGCTACATTTGAGAAGGGCCAGATTGTTGCTGCTGCTTTAGTGTTTTGGGGTGGGGTTTTTTTATTTGTTCTTGAAGTCTACTTTTGGTGTGCAGCAAATATGTGAGGACAGATCAGAAAGCAGTTCATAAAGATTTACTAAGCTCTGGAGAGAACTACAATAATCTCAATATTAGCCTAGCTCTCAGTCCTGCCTAGAGTCCAGTATTTTCTTCTCAAGTCAATAAATTTTGGATAAATACTATTAACTATTTTCGTTATCTCACTGAAAAAGAGATTTAAACTCCATTTTTACCACATGCTAACAGGCAATAACAATAATTTAGAAAGTCTGAAATTTCTTTTTCTACTAATCTACACGAAAGATATTCCCAGTATCCGAGACTTTCCTTTTCCTACTATGATCTTTCCAAGTTCAAGAATTTCCAGATATATTACTAACCAACTTTAATAAAAGCAGTATTTTCTGTATGACAGTTACGATACTAAAGCACCCGATATCTTGGTATAGAATAGACTTCTGAAGCGCTGTGAACATAAGATGTTTTAAAAACCTAGCTGAATTAGATAACCACACAATTTAGTTTTAAAAAAATTGCCAGGAGTAAGAATTGAGATATTTCAAAGAAATTAGGGATTTCCATGACTGCCACTGTGAAAGTTCTACATTTAATTGTTAACCTGCTTTTTTATAATTAAAAATCTGCCCAAGAACAAGTTTACTCTGGTCTGTCTTTATTAATTTTATTTCCATCAAGCATTTTGCAGGAGTACTGAAAGTTTTCTGTTCGTAATTTATTTGCTTTTGAGTGACAGAAAACAATATATCCTACATCAGGCTGAACACCAAACACGTATCTGTCTCTACTATGAGATGCTTGAAAGGGGCTTGACGTTTCAAAGGGGCTTTGAACAGCCTTTGTTTGATGAAGATTTACTTCTTGAGCTCTCTATAAGCACGTAGCCTCTACAGCTGTGGCAAAGAAGGCATAATTGAGAATGCAGGGTAAGTAAAAGGCATGATAAAAATGTAGTCACCAACTTTCATTAAAATATACTGACCCATTCAAAAATCTCACTGTAATAGTTCACCTGTTCTGCTACAGAACAGCCCTGCAACAATTTTCACTAATAAAAACTGATCCTGAAGTACACATCCTTTCATTTCTTACAAACTTTTCTACATTTCCTTCACAGAAAATATTTGAGATGACAGAAAACCAGATTACCAACAAAGAATACGCATCATCAACATGACCTCATTTTGATACTAAAGCTAAACAGCGTATTTTAGTATATACTCAAGTCTATTAAGCTCTTTTTCTTCAAAAGTATAAAGTTTCTCACTAGTGCTGGTAAAAAATAAATAAAATAGCACAAATGGGTATGGTCAACCTATAGTTTAATTGAAAGCATACTAAAACAAATACAGAATAAGCTAAACACTGATTTGCTAAAACCCCTCACAGATGAAAAAGCCCAGGAACCAAGAGGTAACGATCTACATTACCACACGTCTTAAGGTTACTTCCTATTTGTACTTTTGTGCCCAAAACACGAATGACTGGGCGCACCACAAATGAAAACCTGTTCAACAGAGAGACCTCACGCTACACCAACAGCATTCTCTATTGGCCCTTTCAAATGCGATTGAAAGAATTTCAGTCTGCCTCTGGATGAACTCACAGTGACAATATCTAAAATGCAGGAAAAAACTGATGGAGGTTCCCCAGGAGTTTATCCATAGGTGTGGAATGGAAGGAGTGTATAAGATTGCATTATTTTTTACTGGTTTTACATAATTTATAATACTTTAAACACTGGTCTCATAAATATAATATGAACACTTTACACATGCCAAACAATTAAAAGCTCCCCTCAAAAACTTTTAGGTCTTATCAGAACCACTGGCAGCATCTGTTTACAGCATTTGTTTTTAGTCAGTAACCACTTAATATAGTCAGAACTACAACTAGGTTTTCTTCAACCAACACCTTCATATTAAAAAACTCGTAGGAACAAAAAAGATGCCTATAAGCATACCAGTTTGCCTTAAAGCAATTAAAGTCAGCATGAAAAAAAGATTGTCTGTGGTTTAGTATCTGTTGCTTGTGTCCCCACCCCCGGCGCATGTTATCATTAAATAAAAAGTGCAAATGGGATTTGGGGACTGGATGGACTGACTTGCCTATTATTTGTCTTCAGTTGCTTATTCTGTAGCCACCTCACATCAATTGTCCCATCGTACTTTGGATTAGCTACAATTAAATTTAAAATAAGGCTCACTGAAGAAAAGGAAAGAATGACATCTAACTTCCAGACTCCTCCCACCCGAAAGTCCCACAAAAGTGCTCATTTCCCTTTTTACAAAAAGAACCCTAAAATCTTGATTACAAAACTATTAAACATTTCAGTTCTACCGTCCATATAGTCACCTTCCTTTCAAGCAAGGCCAAAAAAGTGATGATGGATTCCCTTTGAATGCAAGAGATACTACACTTTTTGTAAGTAAACAAGCTGACATTACGATTGCAGTCTTTTCTGCGAGTGTACAGATGTCAGATGAACTGGTCCATTTTTGTGGGACCTCGGGTATACGAACACCAGCAGATAAAGATCTAAGACTGATAATACAAACCCAACGTGAACTATTAACTTCCAAGACCACCTACTCTATAAACAAGTCTGATTTTCTAAGGGATCAGTCAACAGCAGCTGCGCTTTGTCACCGATGGCTGTCTTCTAAGTTTGAAGCCCTTACCGCTAGATGGGGGGTTGGTGTCAGTTGATGGAATTCTCCGACCTACAAGGAGGCAGAAAAAAAGATTGTAACAAACATTATACTTGAAACTAATTCTAAGCATTCAGTGTATGTTTTGTGTATAAAAATGTGTCTTCAATTAGTCGTACGTCATCAACGATGACTTTCCTGCGTAAACAGAAGGATGGCAGTTACCAGTCTACACTATGTCTGTAAGAGGTATGGTTCCACGGAAGAAGAGCAGAGGCAGTTTTAAGCTAATTTTGCAGCATTTACACTTCAGGCTAATCTAGACTTGGACAGTTAAGCTATAAAAGCACCCAGAGAATATACTCTGCAGGATGCAATACCATCTGGAGTATCTTCATTGACAACTACCATCTTGCCCTGTGTTTCCACAGCACATCACCTGCATCGGGCTTAGCACAGAAGTGCTTGTGAAGATAGCTGCTTTAGTCATCTAATCAGTCCTAAAAATTGGCAATTCCTGGTTGAGTATTCTTTTCTGAAGAGGATTTATGATTTTTTTTTTCCATAGTTTATTGAAGACCAATTTTAGAGAGCAACTATTAAGTCAGTAAATCAAGGAAGCTAATCTACAGTACATAATTTTACATCAGCTTCAATATATTCAACTGCTTGTAAGGACCCCCACTTCCCCCCCCCCTTTCTTTTTTTTTTTCTTAAGTCTAATGTTTCTGTGGTTATTCAAAGCTAAACTGCAGTGCACAGACACACAAATAGACTGCTGTTTGTCCTCTTTTCACAACCAGGCTGACACTCTTGGACATTGGTGCTGCTGCCTGAAACATATCCTGTAAATAATATTGCATGGAATTCACTTTGGAATACTGTGAGCTCTTCATTCACACACAGAAAAATTGTCATTGTTGTCCCTGCCATGAATGAGACAGAAAAGATATGCAGTTTAATTAAAAAAAAAAAAAAAAAAAGGAAGGCATCACAAAAATACTTGTGGAAAATCTACACCCAATCATTGCTATTTCCCATGCAGCAATCTGGCATTTATGAATGCTTATATTTTTGAAAACGCACCATTTTGAATAAGTACAAACACTAAGATTGAGAACTTCCTCATGCCATTTCCTTTCCCTTTCTTAACTTTGGAAGTACTAACTGAAACTTTCAATAACAGATACAGTAAGATGACACTGACTTTCGACATGAGTGCTTGCTATTTATCCAGCAGCATCACAGTAGGAATATTTAGAGGTCATTAGATGACCAAAAATTATACAGCTCATTTTGCAGTTTGTATTCATGTCAGATTGTAACAAATTTGAGTCAGTATATTCTCACCTAAATAGCATAAAAACTAATAAAGTAATTAAATTTCTACTTGAACATCTTTCAGAAAAAAACACATTAACTGTTTAAATACTTACTAATTTCTATAAAGAGTTCATTAATGTTTATTGCATTTTTCGCACTTGTCTCTACAAATATTGCATGAATGGAATCTGCATAGTCTTTAGCATCTTTTTCCATGACTTCTCTGGAAAACAAAGCAAAAAAAACAACTGTGAATGCAAAAAACCGCCCACATTATTCAAAATATTAAGGGCTAGATTAAGCTTTTAAGTGTCTCATTAAATGAGTATTTTGTGTTTTACCTGTCTGGTACCACAGTGCTCCATCATCCTGAAGCTGATGCTCATTCTTTACTCTGTGCTATCTCCCTGCCTTGAGGTATGAGCATCACTCCAACACAACTGCAAACTAAACAAGGCCTTAATCCACCTGACAACATTACAGCGGAGTTTGTTTCTTGAGTGTGCTAAGTGTAGGTCTGCAATCATCAGGTTGTGCTTTAGTCTTCACACAAACAACAGTTTTAGATGTACTGAAAAGATCCTACAGCATTAGTTCCACTAATCCAGTGGATTTACTACAGCTGTTTACAAAACCAAGTATCTCACAACACTGCGCGGATCATTAGCGCAGCATTTACTTTACAGGATGCATGAAGACGTAGCTATGAACAGGAATATATTTAGACTCAGCACACAACAACAGAGTCCAGAAGTGAAAAAGTTATTCTGCACCCCTGAGTAGGCAAGTTGATAAGAAGTATTGTTCCTTAAACATGAAAAACGAAACCCCAATGGGTGGAGAGAGGACTAGACTATACGTTGCATCACTTTGCATACAATTTCTAGAAAACACAGGCTACTTTCAGTAAAAAGGGCCTTCGGATATCACGAGCACAGACTTTGGATCAGTGACTCAAATATTGCCTCTGACTAAGGTACAAGGAATCTTGCTCATTAGCTTGAATAGCAATGTTTATAGAATTTATGATGCCACCTAAGCACCAAAAAATAAGCGTGTGAGACTTAATACTTCATGCCTTGTATTAGTTTTCTAGGTAATTTTATGCTGTATTTCCTTCAAGCGTCATGCTACTTCTAACAAAAGTTATTGGAGCTCACTAGGTAACTGCTATATGTTAACAGTCTGTAAAGCTATACTAAGAACCGACTGCAGTGGTTCTTAAAACACATAACCATCTGTCTCCTTTGAGACACCAGCTGTGGTACCTTTTCCAATGAAATCTAAAAAACAAGAAGTTTGCCCACACCGTCTTTCTGAGTTTGGCTTATTTAACCAGGGCATCAAGAAAAGAGGGATTCTTTTGTTTTTTGTACATGCCTTCTTGAAAGTCTGGCTGTTCATAAAGCTTCTCAAGAACTTTTCCTGCTCCCTGTAACTATTTCAGCCACAGCCAATTCTGCCCCAATATTTAAGCAGGGAAGGAAGGCACCTGAACAAGCAAGTCACAAAAACCTACACAATGCTTTCCAACAGGCTTGAAGTTTTTTCCTAACAAAATGAGGTGCTACAGACTGACAGAGGTACATCTTACAAAGTCAGGTAAACAGCTTGTATTACACTGTAGTTTCACAGGCAGTTCAGGCTTGTGTAACTTGGCACTGCCACCAGAAAAGGTAACCCTGTCTCCCTGTAAACTGCTCGTTCCTAACCCTGCTATCCCACCTATTGCACCAGCAAGTGTTCATAGTGTGAGAATGATAAATACACTTGGATCGGTTTTCCCCCTTTTTTTTTTTTTTTAAATGGTTAGATTTAATCTGGATCCATTTTACAGCCTGATTTACTGCCCAATCACACACGCACTTGCACCAACACAGGGCAGGAAGTGGGCAAGACTGTCCAAGGGCTGACAAACCAGATCTTCTGAGAGCAGAAACAGCTCAGACCCCTGTGAAACTACAGTGATAGTGTAAAACAGCTTAAATGCCTCTATACCTTTCACCTGCTCTGAAATCTTAAAAATATTTAGGACTATGAGCTTAAGTGAAAACCTCCAAACTGTCAACTGTTATTTACCTTACATCATTAAGATCACACTTATTTCCTGCAATAGCTACAACAATGTTTGGAGGTCCATGCTGTCGAAGCTCTTTAACCCAGTTCTTTAATGTTGAGAAAGTTTCCTGATGTGGAAAAAAAAAAAAAAAGAAAAAAAACACAGAAGAAATTAAGAGTCAGAACTGGCCCGTGACAAACAAAAACAACAAACCAGACATTGTAATGCTGGGTCCAGATCAAACTTCTTACCTCTTTTGTGATGTCATACACTATAATGGCTGCTGCTGACCCTCTGTAATACATTGGGGCTAAAGCACGAAACTGAAAGAAAGACACCATACATTATGAATCTGATCTTCCACTGACCTCCACAATTTCATTATTATTATTATTGAAGAAAGTGAAAACTAGCTTTAAAGTTCATATTGGTGGAAAACTTTACAATTACAGGGAGGCTGTGCAGTAGAGTACATAAACTTCCATGAAAGTATTGTTTTACAAGTACCAACCAATAGTTTGGGGAATCAGCAGCGCACCTACTGCAAAAAGCAGGAAGCCAAACTTGACCTTATTTTGACTAGATTAGAATCTCTCATTTAAAAGAATGTAGATTATACACAGACACAAACCCACAGGATATATGCTCAACTTTAAACACTGAGCAAAGGAAAAGTAGTCAAAATTGAACTTGCTTCTTCCTTTTTAAGACACTCCTGCTTTTGGACAAAAAGTAATTTCAAGAAAAGTAGCATATATCACTGCTGATCTGAAGTGTTCAGAAGTTGGTGTAAACCTCTAGCCCCACGGATCAGTCATGGCACTCTTAAATGCTAAAAATGTTGGTTTCTTCAAATCTAACTTATGGCTTTAGGGACTTTGCTTAAATTTTTCCTCAAAAGTTAGAAGCATGTTTAAAACTAAAAACTGCAAAAGCCCACAACTATGTGACCTCTTGCAAACAAAGCTTTAAGGAACACGCTAGATAGTAAAAGGCTACAGTAATTTTATGTAATTTTCAGAATCAAATCTACAGCAGGCGTATTTGGTTGGTAGTGCATTTGCAGGGTACAACCCAGACCTTTGTATGGGCAGAGTGTTATGAATCCAGGACCGAAAAAAGTGATACAGCACATGATTAAAACACCAATCAAGCATTCTTAAAAAGTGTGTTATTCTGCCAATTTAAAAAGAACCAGACAACCAAAACTTTCAGTCAAAGCAGGAAGTAAACTGTATGTAAGCATATGTGATTTAGAGCTTTTGTGCATGTTATTGCTCAGGGTAAAAGTCATGTATAGAATACAGTTTTTCATAAAGACTTATTTGGTTGTAATAAAATACCTATTTCCTTTTACTTAGTACAGTTCAACTGAGAGCAATATTATAAATCATAAAAATCTTGCTATAAAGCAGAATTCCAGACCATTTACATTTGGCTCCCGAATGTTGTTTTGAAAACAGGATTTTAAACACAAAGTTCAGAATACAAAAATATTTAATGGTGGGAAGGGGAAACATGGGCAGGCATTCAGTTCATATTGGGACACAATCCCTCTCTTCCTCCTAAGTACTAAAATGTTAAAGGGAAACCTATTTGGTAAACCACCACTTGGACTCGTTGCAACCTTGCTTTTTGATTATTTGAGTATTTACATTGGGAATAAACCAACTTTCACTTGCTGATTTTGTATTACTCTCATTTGCTGCCTGCTAACACGTAGATACTTTTTTCCACCTAAGAGCAGCCAGCAGATAAAATACATTAACAAAACAGATGTTACTAGAAACACTGAATTTTCCTTTTGCTATTTTTCCAAAGACTTCAGCTTGCCCTCCAGCCTCCAATTTGTGTTTTGACAGAATTATTAAGATGACATAATGTAATTATCCAGAGAAACCGTCAGAGTTGTTAGGTAAGGAGACAAAAATCCTAAATGCCGTAAGTAATCTCTTATCAACTTTACTCAGCGTAGAAGAAATGAGAGAAGAAATAAGCCGTGTGTGTAGGGAGATGAGCTGTGTGAATTAGTGCACACTTCCACCTTCGGAGTGAAGCTAGCCTGCCACTCCCTGAAGCCATTTAGAACAAGGGGTTGCCCAGCGTAAGGTAGAGCTGTTCGCTGCTGGGCTTTTGAAGTGGAAAATAGCAAATGCTTCTCATCAAGAAGCCAGGACTACAAATTCTGTGCATTACGCACCATAGCTCAACAGAGACATTTCAGTTTCAAGAACAGTGTGGACATTTTTGGTATTCCACATCACCACGGAGGGCACCCTTTCCATAATTCATTGTCCAATGTGCTGCACAACCAGAAAAGCGTGATACAGATTTCAGGGCAAGGCAGGTATGCTGCTAGTAATAAGTGGTCTGTAAGCGATAGTGTTGTTCCATTTTGGAAAAAGCAACATCTATGAAAATACTGACATCATTTCAAAGTAAATATCCTTGCTCTCATTTCCCTGGTTTCCTTGGATATATTGGGTCCTCGCTGTGACACATTCTCAGGTGTGGAACGTAAGCTTCCCAGATACCACAGCTCTTGCGTCAGAGCTCAGGTAAGACATCTTTCCTTTTTCAATTTCAAGAAAGGTATCATGCAACTTGCATGGAAGAAAATTAAAGAGTTATCACTCGAAGTCTAAAAACAGAAAGACAAGGAACATGCCAGTCACGTACAGAGATGCTTCCTCAGATTGCAGTGTGCTGAAAGCAAATTATGGTGCTCTCCCATTGCTTGCAAACACAGTTAAAGTGAACAGGACGGAATGCAAACATGTAATGGATGTTTCCTGCCAAGCTGTGGCAGGCATGTTTATAGAGCTTTCCATTTAAGAGTACTAGGCTCTTGAAATTCATGCTGTACTTCTAAGAAGACTCATATTCTACCATTAACATTTCAGAATGGGCTAGGATGTTCACTTAAGGCAAACTATTTATAGCAAGTGCTGACTGACTGCTAGTAATGGAAGGACTTGGATATTTCTGATAACATGGATACTATTGGACATATCCCTGGGACACATCCCTGACACATAAGTTTGCTTTATATGGTGCTGCTGGAACAAAATAAACTGTCATTCAAAAATCTAGAGCACTGAAACGCAGTACAAATATACTTGAGTCACTTTCTCGCTATCGAGGCTGTTATCAAGCTAAAAAGCTAGCAAGTCAGTTCCACCAGGAGTCCAAAAGGTCAAGTGACTCTGACCAGGGATGATTGAGCCTTTACAAGGTGGGTTTTTTGTTGTTGTTTTGGGTTTTGTTTGTTTGTTTGTTTGTGGCAGCGGTGGGTTTTTTGGTTTGGTTTTTTTTTTTTCTTTTTTTTCTTTTTTGGCTTGGGCTCTCTGTTTCTTGAGCCAATTCTGAAAAATGGTACAGCCGCATTTGTCAGTTATTATCTGAAAGCAACAACCCAACCTGATCAAACTGACTCTTACTGGGGACAGCTCTGGTGTCTACCTTTGTTAGTTACCTCACATCCTAAATAAACTCATTGAGAGTCCTTGACAGTTACCAGTAGTTAACAGTCAAGAAACTGCAAGAATAAGCACTATTAATACAGCTACTATAATTTCTACCACTGTTACTAGTAATTCATAAAGAAGCTAATTAACTAGCAAAGTCTTCCTTTTAAATTCTAGGTAAAAATAATGCTTATTAATTAACTGTGATTTAATCTGACTAGTCATTTTCTTGAAAGCTTTTGTTGCCTTCCCTCAGAACTATGCACGCTGAAGAGATCAAAACTCCAATCTACCACATTAAAATTTAAATTCAAAATAGAGTTCTTGACATAGCTTCTAACACCATCAGATTTGAAAAGTAAAACCTTACAAAATAATAAAAGATCAGTTATCACCCATAACACTGCTTGAAATGCTGTTCTTGAACATTTAAACCCACATCCTACTCACAATAATAACCTTAATCCCGAAGCTAACAGAATGTGTCAGCAGTTGTATATTTTTCCAGGATCAGGGCCTTACTTGCACTATGAACACGATCACACATCTCACTTGGATTCTCCTGTTGCCAGTGGCACTGTCTGCAAATACTGCAGTTGAGTGTTTAAAACTCAACCATAGAAATGGTACTAGAAACAGCTGCTGGCTTCCCCCCCACCTTCTTTTCTTTTGAAATGGCACTCCCTTTCAGTAAATCCAAACCCAGTCTTTTGTTTTATAAGTGCTTCTTAGGTAATCATCTTTAACTTTGTACTTTAACCACAATAACAATGACAAAATAAAAACATATTTACAGCAACCTTATCTTGATAGAAACCTGCATAGAAACAAATGTTCTAACAGATATTCCTAAAACCAGATATTCCTAAAATCAGATCACATTGTGACTTTCACGGTCAGGGCTGAAATGCATCCCATGCTCTAGCCAGAACTATCACCACACATATTGGTTCTACTTACCCGCTCCTGTCCAGCTGTATCCCAAATTAGGAATTTATGCAGCTCATTTTGATACTGTACAGTCTTGGTCATAAATGAGGCTCTGGAAAAAAAATTACAGCTTATGCTTTTCAGAATATAAAGACATTCTTAGAACATTACTACCGTGAACTTTTAAAAAAGGTTTACATTCTGACAAAGGTGCTTCCCCCCCCCAAAAAAATGAAGATTTTCATACGTAAAGGCTGAAATTAATGAGGCGAAAGGCCTCAGAGAATGAAATATCCTTTCAGAGGGTGAAATGCAACTAACAAAACAGAAAGAACATAAATGCAAATTTTAAGTTGTATTTTTCATAAGCTTTTGATAAAAATAAAGGATGTATGACCAAAAAAAAATAATAATCAGAGTGATCAGCCTTTTTAACAACATTCTTCCAAAGTGGAGGAACAATCACAGCAGACCACTTAAGTGTACACCGGAAACTTCCAGAGGGAAAGAGATCAAATCCTTTCCCTTTGCATCAGCTTCTTCTATCTCTGTACTAACATTCAGATAAATGCTGGTAAGTCCATACTCGGGAATAAAATATGGGAGATTCGTATCACTACTGGTAGGTGTTAAGACGACAGAGAAATCAACAATGAGTAACTTGCTTTGTTGTCTGCACTCCATACAGCTCCCAAATACTGTCTGTCATTATACACGTCAGTCTCCAGAAGCTGTTGCACATCCAGAAGAGAAACAATAAAATCTGTTCGTATGCTCCAGCCGTCCCCCCAGCTTCTAGATGTTTTACAGGAAGACACTGCAAAATGTTGTAAAGTACTTCTATGCTTTACTTGATCTACTTTACAGGAATCAATGTATTTCCCACAAGAACAGGAATTCAGAGACCTAATATTTTACAAAAGGGAGTTCTTCGCTATATCTATTACCTGTAGACACTTTTTTTTACTAGAAAAGCCAGACGCTGAATTCAAATCCTTGTAGAGCAGGAACTATAGATGCCATAATTATTTTAAGCATACGAGATCCTACATTACCATCTTGAACATCTTTTGTTTGCTTAATTCTTGTCACTTGAAAATACTGCAGACTTCCAAACTTGTTCTACTGCCAGTTTTGGACAGGATGCAGGACAGGATCCTGGAGGTGGCCTGTACTGAAGCTTCTTACAGGACACTTAAGCTTGTGGTAGATTCAAAGTCAGAAGACAAGAGTCTTTCAGCATGATCAACAACATTGAATACCAGAATCCAAGACTCTGAACTTCAGTTTATCTCAGATCTTAAGTACTACTAGGGCACAGATTTTTAATGTCGCCTATAACACTTTTGTAGTAATGTAACTGGAGTCTTTGGACATGTTTCAATGTTATAGGAGGACAAAACAGCTGTCCACATTTAAAATAAAGAAAGGGAGCAATGACACAATGCTCTTCACTGTTAAGAGGTAACATTCTTCCCATTCCTTAAGCTCAGATGGTTTGCCAAATAGTATGTGAATCTCCAAAGTTGATTACTCTTTTAAGAATACAAATACAGGGTTGCAGCATTACTAAAAAGATTCTAACTGCAATGCATTTCAACACACTTAATTAGATGATGTATTTTAGCACCAAGTAACGGAAAATGAAGTGATGGGAGTATCTGTTGTAAAGCACAGCAAAAACTTCCACTTCCTTAAGAGTGCTGCAAATTAAGCATCAATTCTGAATTCTCTAGCCAATATGGAAACAATTTCCTAAATCATAGATTCTCACTGAAAATTTATCTTACTTGGTTCTATAAACCAAAACATTCCTGTACAGTCAATTTGAACTGAACAGCTGTGTTGCTCTAATTCACATCACAACTAAACATATCAAATGGTAGCTGACAATAGAGGTTAAATGCTACTTGAAATTCTTTGACAAGTGGAAGTTTTCATTGGGAAAGACAAAAAAAACCACACCAAACAACCAAAAACCAAACAGCTCAAAGACAAACCACTTCTGGGTCAACAAAAGCCTCCAAACAAGAGCTATCCTCAAGGACTTCTAGCAAGAAAACAGGCATTATCCCTACTGAATTTCCTAGCTGCTTCTCCCAGCCACCAAGCACTGTAACTACCTGAACAAGATGCTCCTGTAAGTAGTTTTACACCCAGTTAATAATTCCTTTTTGATGCTATAATGAAAGACTAGATATTCTGGAGTACCTAGAGATATATGCTGGTCAGGCAAAGCAGAGTATGTCCTCAGGATCCTGGGAGGACAAAGGCTGCAGATTTCTGACAGGGTTTCTACAGCTGCCCATATCTGAACCTGAATGATGAACACTCATGACAACAAAGTATGACTGCTCAGGTAATTCTAAGAGGAGTGGAAACAGGACGGGAAACATGAGATTATCTCATGAACTCAAAAGTCCAGGAGTAAACACAGAAATGTTCTCAGCTTTAGTTTTGTAAAATGCTCAAAACTCCTCTCTAACCCTTGCTTTGTTCTTTCCACCTCCTGGTCTCAATTAGGAAATAAAACTTCTAGAAGTTTCAAAATTAATTTACTTAAAATATTGTGACTATATCTTATTGGAGCCTCACACAATCCCTGCATTTGGGAATGTTTTGATTCATTTATACTACTATAACAAACAACCAAGATACCAAGTCCGCAGACCAATGAACGATTTTGTTAAGACTGTTAAAAGACGGAGATTTTTAGTCTGTCACTTCAAGTAAATAAACTAATCTCAGTACTGTCATTAAATCCATGAAGAAAAACTCTATTCTGCCCATCAGCCTCATTACTACAACAGCTAGCATCTTCTGATTGGGTTCCTGCTTTCGAACAGATAAGTGCTAGACTGGAGGGAGGCGAAAAAAGAAAAAGATGACATCAACCCACATGCCACACAGCCAGAAACCTACCAGATTAAAAGAAAGTGACTTTGGAGGGAAGATAAGACTTGATGCAGTTCATTCCAGTCCTAGCCCTTCCCTGGGAGGAAAGCAAAAAAAAAAAAAAAAAAAAAAAAAACACCACCACAAAACCCTCTCTCCTGAGTTTTCTCCAGATTAGAGAAAATTATACTTTGCCAGGATAGAAGACTCACAGATCACAACCTGCACTCTGCAGCTTTAGACAGTCTTTAGACATGCAGAGCCTAAAGCCATTAAGCACGGTATTTTAGAATTTAGACTCTTGAAAGCAAACTTGAGGAGGCTGCAGTTCACGAGTGATTGCAGATGTAATGCAAATTCCATACTCAAACGTTTAGCTGGGTGGTGACATGGTCTAACGATAGAACAGAGTATCCTGACCAAATAAATAGGCACCTCTCACGTTTGCAAAACTTAAGTCTGTGCTACCGTACCTGGCCACCTACCAGTTAAGCAGCCTTTAATCTCTTTTCCCCCTCCCCCAGGAACTGCATGCATGAACACGGTGGCTAACTTTGCGCCACTGTAGATATAACCCATATTAGCCAACTATTTAACAGACTCTGTGTTTAGAAGTACCTGGATGACTAGGAGTGAAGACAGATAACCAATTTCTCAAACGCCTCAGGTAATAATTAAAACAGCTGGATCTTTCAATAGTGTCCACCTGAAGAAGTTTTGCTTGCAGTTGATATCACTATGGGCAGTAGGTTTGAACTTTCTAGACAACCTGAGGTTAAATGTTTAAGGCAGCCTGCTCCCCTAGTTAAGCAAACAGCAATATGACTACTATCTACATATCACTTTCGTGGTCCTCCAAAAAAGAACCTCTACTGTAGCTAGTTTGGCAGTAACTAAGAATGTCCAACCCTTGAAAATCGAAGAAAACTACTTAGCAACCTGTCTTAAAGGCTATCTTTGTAAACAGGGAAATTAAAATAAAAGCATAGTTCCTGCAGAATGTCTTGCAATTTGATACCAGTATTTACACTCAAGAGAAGAGGTGGGGAGCGCAGCAGGGAGGAGAGCGCGAGCTCATGGGAGCCATGTTTTTTTTTTTTTTTTTTGTTTTGTTTTTTTTTTTAAGAAGGATGGGATGAGACACAGCTCATCTTTATCATCAGGATCTTTTCTGGTCAAAGCTGTGGTAGAGCCTGTGTGACACCTGAGACAGGAAGCTGCACTGACACCCCCAAAGGCTTCTCAGCATCAAGTGAAGTCATGTCCTCCTCTCAGTAAGGAATTACTTGTGGGCAAAGCAGCCCATAAGACACTTGCAAAGCAAAAAGGACATCAAGAGAAATAAAAAGATCGAATCACTCCAAGAATTCCTGATGCTCCCCCTTCCTTCTATCCATGTGGAACTTTGAGCTCAATAACATTGCTACTCTGAGCATTAACTTTCAAATATCCTGACACCAACTGCACTCACAATTTCAGCAGTTACTTCTGAGTGTGTGTATTGCATACAGATGTATAACATTACAACTAATTCAAAGAGGACTACAACCTGAATTAGTATGTTAACTACCTTCAAAAACCTAGGAGAATTGTTATTGTACTCGACTCTTAAAAAAAAATAATCATATAACCTCATAATAATTGGACTTTGAAATTCAAGAGCAGTGCATGAGAAAAGCACACTGTTCCTCTGACCAAAGCATCTATAGTGTAATTTGTTCATAACCCAGGACTCCTAGCAGGATTTTGTTAACTTAGATTAACCATACAAAATGGGTCCAGATCTTACACGTGAAGATGGAAGCTGCAGGAGTGCAGAATACACTGCTACGTTTCCTGAGGTAGCTCGTGAGCTAATTAAGGCTGCAGTCACGTTTATTACCACATTTAGCTGCCACACACAGAGAATACTCAAGTAATCTATTCCAGAGGTACAAATATATAGTAATACAATTTGGTTTTATTCTTGAATAAGTCACATTAACTTTATTTAGCTTCTTACCCTATTGTTGGGTTGATGTTGGGATCAAAGCTATCTTCTACAAATCTCCACACAATACTTGATTTGCCCACACCAGTGTCCTATAAAAAGAACAGAATCAGTTGAAAGAGACTTAGTTACTACAAACAGATGATTCTTTTTGTCCTCAAATCTTGCAATACACTGTGCATGAATAACATGTTCCTGCAGAGAATCTCAGAGAAGTTAGATCCTGAAATACTTCAGGATTATATTCGTTTAGCAGAAAAATGAAAGGTCTCTGGTAAGTTACAGTTTTCTAAACAAAATTGTTAAGACGTTTTTTTATGAAGGACTATAAAAATCTGCATTTATGCTTATTATCAGCTATTCAAACTTTTTTCCTTCCCCCCCAAAAAAAATATGTACAAATTGCATTTGAACAGGCGAGAAAGACTGTCTACCGCTTTTAGTAAAATATACAGCAATTGAGTATGGTACTCCATCTTTGCAAGCCAACGTTAAATTATACAAGTGTGACACACACATTTCAATCTCTGACTAATGCCGTCCCACCCTGCTTAATGAAAGACTTCAAATTTCTTCTGTGACACACCTGAAACATGTTTCTAATGCAACTCTACAGAGCTACAGATGGTCAAAGAGAAAAGGTAACATGAAAATTCGGGGTCACGTATGTATTTGCACCACTGACTCCATCGTCAAGAAAAAAAAAAAATTGTAGAAGGTATATTCAGGAGTTAAATAACTCAACAAACTATTGGCAGGAAAACGGTTTCCAATAGCAGATGGACGTTTTAATGGTCATTTAATTAAGACAGGTGAAGACAAACTTTTTCCTTCACATATCCAGAACCATTAGAATTTTAAGGAAAAAAAACACCAGAGGAACCGCTTCATTTAAAGTGAAGCTTTATGCTATTCCTGCGTTTTCTTTAATCTTCTGAATAGCATAGTAAATTCGGGTACAGTATGTATGCTTCTGTTTATCTTTTTCAAGCCGTATTCCTCTCAGGGAAAAGCGCAGTATCTCAGTTCAGTATTTTATAAAGTTTGCAGTCTCAATAAGGAGAGCAAATCTTAAAAAGAGGAAGGCGGATGCAGTTCCTGGCTCCGGAGCCCGAGGACCAGCCCCCCCGGCCGCTCTCCCTCCTCTCCTCACACGACCACCGCTGTCTCGGGTCAGGTGAACGCCGACAGCAGCAGCAGTCACCCCAAGTGCCTTCACGACGCGAAGGGCGCAGAAACACGCGATTTCCCCTCCGAAGGGTGCGGCGGCCCTCCGGCAGCCGGGCAGAGCTCCCCCGAGGCCGCGGACGGGACGGGGACGCCCCGGAGCCCCCCGGCAGGCCTCGGGCCGGGCCGCGGCACCCTCCGCGGCGTTACGCGCCTGCTTCGGTTTGCGCCACGGCTCTTTCTTCCACCACCTGCGACGCTTCGGGCACTTTCAAAGCCTACGTATGTCGGTTTTAAAAAAACTTCAGGCCCCTTCCCCTCTCCCGCGAGTCCGATTTCAGGCGCTGCTATTTATTTGTGAACTCGAAGCCCGAAACAGCTTGCGAGGAGGAGGGAAGGATACACTGGACGTTGGTGCTGCCTCTCCTTTCTTTTTCAAAGGGGAAGACCGGAAAAAGAGGAGCGACATTCACCTCTGGAGAAAGCCCCCCC